GGGGTGGTGCGGCTTGGTGTGGCAATGAAGCCAGCGCCATCGCAGCACTGCTGGGGTGGGACGGAGAGCTTTCCTCCGTGAGGCATTTAGTGTGCTGTTGCTTTGCAGCCCTGCGATCCATGCAAGCAGCTCTTCCTGTCCTGTTCTCTAAGAGGAGCAGTGCAAGAGCGCAATTAGCCCAGGAGGTAGAGCATCGCTTTCTCTGCTGTAATTTAATAGCTCGTCTTCTCTACTCTTAGGAGGCGGGAGGAGAACGAGAAAGTACTCAGACGACGCAGGTATGACATGGATTTCAGCCTTGTCTAAAGAGCCTGCAGACAACTGTGAGTTAGTTACACATCGCAGGCACACAAGAAATGCATCTGAAGCTCAGGGGGGTGAGCGTGCTCTCTGCATGTGGGAGGTGCCAGAGCCACTTGCAGAAAAAGAGCTCAAAGGGATGCTTCCATATGAGGCTTTTGTGTGGAATCCCTGTTTCACGGACAATCCCAATCTTACACATGCTTTTACTGAGGTTCAAACGCTGTCACCTTTTCACTGGAATCCTCATGTGATTTCCCTCCACCTGATCTGTCAAAGTGCAGAAGAGCAATCTGGTACCATGGCAGGTGTGGATAGGAAAGGATACAACTGAAGGACAGTGGAAGGATTGCCTCTAGAGAAGCTGCAGGGATTCCTTGCTTTCTCTGGTTCTTGCTGTGCATTTCTGACTTCCGTGCCACCCAACGAGCAGAGAAATTCAAGCTGGAAAAAGACTAGAGATTGGGCATTCCCAGGTGAAACTGAAGGGGTTGACAGCCTGAATCCTCATCATATTTACTTGGAAATACGTTTTTGGCAGTCCTTGTGCACTGTGCTGTAGTCACAAGAAGTGTTTCCCCACATGAAGTGTTTATCCCATGGCTTTGCTGAGACTTCTTCCATTTTCATTGTGTCCTTTGTCTGTCTACATGTGTGTGTTTTCTGGGTGTTCAACTTCTCTGCCTTCCTTTATGTTTTCCTAAGCAGCTACAAGATAGTGCTGTGACACAGCACACTTGTGAAAAATACCCAGGCAGTTTGACGTATTAAGGAGCGCAACGGGAAATAATCTTAGATTTCCCAGTCTCTTAAAAAAGCAGTAAAAATGGCTGGAAAAAATGAGAGAGGCAGTGGAGGATGACTTCATGGAAGGAACCTGCACACTGCTTTGAGTGAAGGATCACACTACAGGATAAATGTCATGTGTAAAGAAGCCCTGGGTTCAGACAACATAACTCACAATGAAGGGATGAGTATGAGTTGAACATGAGTCACCACTGAATCCCAGGTTGTCATTAAACTGTGGGTTATTATTTTGTCTGAACCTAACCAAAAAACAAACAAACAAACACACAAAGCATGGTGAACAACTCTGAGTTCACAACCCAACAACACACCATGGGTTCTTTTCATGGGTTGCTCATATTAGCTTGGCTAGACTCAGACAACATTAAAACCCATGTCTCAACACCAGCTCACAGTTCAATGACAACCCACACTCAACCCATACGTTCTCTTTGGGTGTGGGTTATCCTGTTGTGTATACTCAGTCACTTTTTAAAAGCAATGTTTCTTAAAGCCTTTTTTTAAAGAGTTCCTCTGCCTCAAATATTGTACAAAACAAAAACTGTTGTTCCCTCTGCACACACATTCACTCTCACACAGAACAGGATGCTAAAAAGTTAGGAGGCTAATGAGGGCTGTAAAAAGGGAACAGACAACACTACCTCTGTGTCCAAGGCTTGCCCACTGTATGAACAATACGGTGAAATGTACACATCCCAAACATTGCTACACCCCAGATGTATTGATGCTCAGTTGCCATTTAGTGCTTAGCAGAAGAACGATTATGGGAAGTGCTGGGGGTCTCCATCTGGAAACAACCCAGCAGTGGTTGGACCAGCTTAATCTCTGCTCCCCTTTTCAAGACAAGTCTGGGACATGCAGAAAATAGTAAACACAACTGACTAGACACAGACATTACTTTACATCCATCTCTGGTAGCTACATGTAATTTTCAGTGTTAACTTTCGAGTAGGTGGAGGGGCTCCAGTTTGGATCTTAAAAGCCTCCCCATGTGAAAGTCACAATCTGGTTGGGCCCCAAACCTAAATAAGAAACAAAACATCGCTGGTAGATGTGCATGTAAAGTATGGCCTCTTTTTAGCCCTTAATGGTTTGTAGTGGTGTTGCTCCATTTAAATTCCATTCTCCAGATTTATCAGTCCCCTGATGGCATCATGAATTGGATGATCACTCATCATTTTCTCAAAGTCCCACTCTAGCAGTTGCAGGACTCCAATGAAAACGTTGCCTTTTTCAGTAATGTTTCTAGATGTTAGCCTGGCCAAGCAAAACTGTCATAAAAGCTTGGTGTAAAAACTAAGGAGGTAAACATTACTCAAATACTTCTTTGACATTTCATATAGTATGTCTTAAAAGAAGGACAAGATTGGTCAGGCTGAGAATATAAATGTCCACGGGCATCTATTTGTCTGACATGCAAATAGATTTAGAGTACTTATCTCAATTAGGCACATAAAAATGCTGGTGAAGTCATTTACACTCCTATTTTATGGAGGAAGTCCAGAGGTTTAAAAAGAAACAAAAACAAACATTTCATTTGTCAAAGCCTTCCAGGAACTCCAAGACTGAGCAAGGGCTTTAATACACGCTGGGTGGGTCCAAGATTTTGTCCAGAAGCTCACTCTGGCTTTCATCATTGCAGGATTACACTCCCCTCTGCCCAGAGGCCTCAGCCCCAGGTCCTGGTTCTGATCCAGTTGATATCATAGCAAGGAGGTTCACCTCAAGACTCTGCCAGTTCAAATTGCTCTTGTGATTTATGATGTTTCTTATTAGCAGAAAAGCTATTCATTTTGGGAATTGATGCCCCACCCATCAACATAAAAACATTTTCTAGGCATAGAGACACCACACATCATGAGTGAGTGGATTATGTGAATGACTGAGGCAAGACTCAGCAAGTGGATTCCGATGAGCTCTGAGCAGGTTGTTCTTTTCCATGTTGTGTATATAACCAACTGGTAAGCCATTTGTTTGTTGTCACCTTGGCCTGTTGGAAGGCAGCGTTTATCACACAACAAGATGTGTCTTTAGTTCCCATGAGATACCCATCATGTGATTGCGGTGGCACCAAAGCCGCTTCCAGACAAAAGCAGCCAAGAGTATCACTTTTAGTTTGACATGCCTTGGCATGGACTAGAGCTTACTTCATTGGACACATGATGAGTGACCCTCAGACCTCAGTCTGGGGTGAACAGAGCACACATCGGCTGAACCATCCCTGAACGCTTATGGCAGAAGAGAAAAGTTTGTCTTTAAAGTTCCACAAGCTTCTTGGGGGCAGGTAACTTCTTCCCATGCTGCTTCAGTGTTTGGACAGCCAGAAGTGATCTTGTGGGCCCTTTCCCATGGGCCTTTTGCCTGCCCCCCTTCCTAGCTGCACCAGCAACAAATGGATGTAAAAAAAAGGCTGCACAACTCGGCCCCCAGCTGTGCAATTTTGGCTTGCAAACATCGGCACAAGGGGCCAGGAGCTTGGTTTCACTGTGGGTCGGCTCTGCTGAGATTTCCAATTGCATTTTCATAATCATGTCAACAGATTCCAACCTCATGTTTTATAACAGGTCCCTTTAACCTAAAATAGAAGTCAACTGGGACTTTTAAATGGACCATCCTCTCCTCTAGGCAATTAAAGAACTAGTTCACACAAAGAAAAGATAATCACATTTATGCAAATACTCTGAACAAGTGACAAACAGAGAAGGTTGGATAAGCAAAACTCTTGTTTACATGGCAGGCTATTGACATGGCAGCTTCATGGTTGACAGACAGAGAATTCAGGCATTCATGCGTAATTCAGATCAGATATCTGAAATTCAGCCGTGATCTAGAATATACAGCTTTAACCTGTACTCTTGGCTCAGGGAATCTGGCCTGATACGATTTGGCAAAAAAACTTTGGATGAAAGAAACAGCTTTCACCTCTGGACAAACTCTTTAAGCCTCTCCATACTTTTCATTTTGTGCACTGACACAAATTCACAAATACCTGTAATGAGTCTAAGCTTTGAATGACGTCTAACTGTAGACGTCAATTCTATATTATATCCACAAAATACATATAGGCAATGATTGTGAAGGGCAGAAAGTATAATTTATGCAGGTGTGTCATTTATAAACGATACTGCATGCATGTACTTTTCACTTGGCAACTACTTCCAGAGTACTAAAGGTTAAGAAAGAAAAGTCCTTCCACACAACCTTGCAAAGTAACTTGGAATTAGCTCAGCGCTGTTTTCACTCTCAGGCAGTTATTCAGCATGGATGAACAGTCCTGCTGTTGAACACAACTCCAAATTATCCTAATTAAAGCCAAAGAAGACGTACATCCAACTGTTCTATTTCTCTGACAATGCAGCAATTACTCCCTAGGTCAGGCAACATTTCAGAGAGCCTTCCTCTAGCAGGACTCACAGAAAAAGTAGAACCAGCATTTTCTCTTAAACATATAGGCACACCAGCACCCTGCCAAGACTTCAACCTGCTGTTCAGAATATGAGTTCACTAAGTTAAAAACAAGAGCAACGATGTTCCATAAATGGGAATTTGAGGGCCATTTCACCAAGCTGCAAGCAAACAGAAAAAATGCCAGGACTAAAAATTGGGCATTCCGACTTTTAGTTATAGCCCAAGAGATTTTCCTTGTCTGGAAAACATTCTCGACTGGATCTTTCGTGTGAAGTCACCCAAGGCACACTGAGAAAATCCTGCCCTTTCCCTCTAATTTCTATATTTAACTTCGGCCAGAGCTGTATTTTACCAATAGCACTCCCTTTTCCAAAGAGACAAGGAAGGCGCGCGCACTTCCTTAGCTCTGCAAAAGCTTCTTTGGCGGCGTTCTGTCAACCGCGGGGGAGAAGAAAGATTGAAAAATCAAACAGGGGACAAGTCACCTTTGCTCAGAAGAATCGGCTCGAATTTCCAGGCTCCCGACAGCTCTAACCCTTTCCGCTCCTTCCCTCCTAGTCCAGGCTTCCTGCCATCCTCGCCCCCCGCCAGGCGTCCGCGTCCGGTACCCTCGGCAAAGCGCTGCTCCCCGAATGAGGATCGCTGCCCAGGAGCTGAAGGGCCGAGGGCGAGAGCTGCGCCTCGCTCCTTGCCCTCTTTCTGGTTTTGTCTTTCTCCCAGTTCAGACTTTCGAGCCTCTCTGAGGGCAGGTGGAAGGGCTTCTTGGCGCGGCAGTGGGAGGAGAGAGAGAGGTGGAGCTGTGGCTAAAGCAACAGGTTACTATATAACCAGAAGCTGCGAGCGCGGAGCATGTCGCAGGAGCTGCTATCTCTGCTGACACCTGGCGCAGCGATGCAAAACCGGAGCAAGCCCCGGCCTGCGGAAGCTGCAGAGCGGGCGCAGTTTGGTTTTCCGTCCTTTCTGGGAGGCCCTTTGGATCCCAGGAGGAAGAAAACGGTGTCGGTGCTCTTCTCTGAGTGTGGTTTGTCCTCTCTCTCTCTCTGTGGGAAAGGGAAACGATTACCAACCTGGCTTTTCAGCAGGGAAACAAACCAACGCCTGTGTGCAGCACAAGCCACCCCTCAGAAAGCTTGCGGCTGTCTGGCAAGGTGTTTATCCTGCCAGAATCAGCTGCACCCAGCCTGTCTTGTCCCGACCAGAGTGGAAAATGTGCAGCCGATATGTGGCTAAAGGCATCGTTCAGCTTAGCGGAAAGGACAGAGCCCCAGAGTTTAAGATGGCCCCAGTTCAGCAGGATGGAGGGACTTGGCATTCAAAATAACTGGTCTGGCATCAACTCAGTCTTTTGCATAGTGCAGCCACCGCACTCTTTACCAGTGACTTGGAGATAATCAGGCTTCTCTGCCTTGGGAGGGAAAAGGAGAAAGAGAACAGGAAGAGGGAGGTGCTCAGATAAAGTAATTTATATTCTTTAGTATGAAATGGGTGGAAAAGCTTCCCTTGATTTCAGCGGGGGTTGGACTGGATCCAGACTTTGAGGCGATATGCACACAAATAGAAAGTTACAGCCAAGCCCATGCATGTTTACTCAGAAGTAGGTCCAGCCAAATTACACGTGCAGAGGACTGCTGCCCGGCAAGGGCTTTGCTGCTCAGCAATGTGCTTGCAGAGTGCACAGAGCAAACGCAGAAAAATGGATGACAGCTAGACCTGTGGGACTTTGCCTCAGCCTGTGGTGTTTGTGGGCAAGAACTTATCAAGCTGCCATATACTGCATTAAACATTTGGCCCATTTAAGGCCAGTGCCTTCAATTGACTGGCAGAAGCTTTCCAGAGTCAAGGGCAGAAAAAGCTCCTTCTTAGAACTGCCAACATGGATTATACCTAAGATCTTGCGCGTGCAAAGCATGTGCTCTTGCACTTCGTTATGGATGTTTCCTTGTGATTGTAATATTATGGAAGGATAGTGCTTCTCATGGAGAGAATCTAGTTACATTACCAGTTGTAGGCATTTTCCTTTAGCAACTTCTAGTTTTTGCAACTTAAAGTACACATTTGATTTCCATAACTTCAAACCACTAAGCCGACATTATTCAATAAAACAACATACAGTACAGGACTGGGCAACTTGTGTTCCTCCAGATGCTTTGTCCTATAACTCCTGTCAACTCTCATGATTGGCTGTGCTGGCTAGGGATGATGGGAATTGTAGGCCAAGGCATCGGAAGGACCACAAGTTGCCCACTGCTGCTACAAAAAGAGAAGAGAGCGGATGATTGGGCTCCTCATTGGGTTCTATTATTCCGACACACATCACAGTAACATGGGATCTTGCCATAGGGATGTGGCTTCCATATCACCAATAGAACACATGGATGGCCTGGGAGGCCCCTTCTGATTCACTTTTTTTCTATGTTTCTAAGAATGAGGACTGGAGGTTGTGGGGAGATGTGAGGGGTCAATTTAACATGCACTTAAGTGCATCAGTGGCACGTACTTAGGCCCTGCCTGGGGCAGGGGATTAACTCAGAGTTTGAAAGGGTGGATTTTGAGTAGGGATCCAAAGGGTGTGTCGAGTGAGATCAGTATAAGAGCAATAAGCAATGGTGGGTGGACTTGGTTGAGCTGGTAGAGTTGGGAAGATCAAAGGCCATCATGGACAGGGATATAAAACAGAGAGGGTGAGCAAAATGAAAGCTCCAATGCCTGAAATATCCCTCTGTTCAACAACACCCCCTTATTCCCCCAGTCCTGTGCCATAACCCACCCCATTGAACAAGGTCCCCCAACTCTCACAATATACTTTGTGGAGAGCCACTGAGGTAGGAGGATGGGAAAGGCAGTGCACACCTGATCCCTGCTGTCTGGATTTGAGCCAGCATATTTTCTAATGGATGCTTCTTCAGTAAAGAGCATTTCCTTCATGTATTTAATTTGGAGTCATTTGGAGTCAAGCTGACTAGTGACTGCCTGTTCTTGATACAACTTCTTGGCAAACATGGCACTTAAGGACTAACAAATTTATTTCTGGCACAAGGTTATGACAATTGCTGTGGTCTTTAAAGTGCCACAAAACTCTTTGTTGTTTTTGCTATAACAGACTAGCACGGCTCGCCCTCTGAAACAACTTGGTAGGATGCAACTTCTTCCTGTTTGTATGCCACAGCAATGGCAGTTTTATGTGTGTCTGAATCAGGTTCCTGCAAGCCTAGATAATTATATCAACAAAGATATATTTGGGGTGGAGTACTTGTGATGGCATTGTGAAGCAATTGGATTTTGGGATGATGAAAAGCCCAGATTTATTTTCCAAATGCTTAAAAGAATGTATGAGAATAAAATTTAAAAATATTAATTTACTAAACCCTTAAAACACTATCAAGTTTTCGAAGAAGGATGTGCCTGAAACAGATCTGGGACATTCAGTAACATTTTAAAAGTGACAGAAATTGAACTTGTTTAAAAATAGAAATTTTTACAACAGTGCAAACCAGAGTATGTTTTGAGTATGGGATATCATTTAATCATGGGATGTTGTGAACTCAGCTCTGCTGATAAACCATAGTTTGTAACTGATGAACAACCTACAGTTTAATGCTAAAACAAGTAATGCCTGTCTATGATTAATAAGACATTTTTGTTAGACCAGCTGGGTTCACACGCCATAACCCACAATTCAGTAACAACCCACACACAACCTGCACTGTGGCTTTTCATGCTGTGTGAATCCAGCCATTCTGTGGTTATGTTAACATATGGACATGGTCAAATGGTTTGACCCACCCTAATACCCCAGCATGCACAGAACAGGCTAAATTGATAGGCATCTGAAGAATGAATTAGACACTGCAGGATAAACTGAGAGTTCCGGTACAACAGAAAGTGCAATCTGCAAGGGAAATCTGGTGGGGGTGGTTAACCCTTCAGCCTCACTGGGCATTTCATAGAAAGGCTTAAGCACCCCTTTCTACTACCAGTTCTTTCTGCACTTTAACTGCAAACATGGGCTAGGAGTACACAGAAGTGGTCATCTTTTAGTTATTATAACTTTGCTGGCTATTTTGTGCAATCTGGTACTTTACTTCAGTATTGTGATTTATCATAATAAAAGTTATAACTTTCTTAAAAGTGGTTATTGTGAATCAATAAAAAATGAAAGAAAAAGCAAAAATACTTAGGTGGATAAGTGCATACATTTCATGTTACAGACCAATATGATGGGCACAGCCCATACAACTGTTCTTCTTTAAACATTTTAAAAATATTTTAAAACATTTCCATTTTAACCCATGGAAAAGTAGCTCCCATGGCATATTTGTAACATTTTAAATGGTGTCCAAGACTTCTCTTCAAGAGTTTCAGAGGCATGGAAAATCTGGGAAAAAAACCCTTAACTCACTTGCATATATTATAGGAATATGGACAATCACAAGTTAGCACAGACTATACTGATTGGACAAAAGCAGATTTTGGTATAGCTATTAACATGTAGTGGAAAGCATGAAAAAAACCAATATAATTTTTGGAATGGACAGAAAACCTTCTATTATAGGCATGTGCCAGTCTATTTCAGAATTCAGTGACTGAATAGTACAGATTTCCTTACACCAAAACCATTTCTTACTGAAAGGACTGCTGTGGCCCAGCTCCTCATTTTTCAAAGCCTTTAATATATAAAAACAGCTAGCTGGCAAAGGATGAGGACACACATAGGCTGTCTCACTACACTGCACATGTGGCTTTTGAATACGCAAGTGAAATATATGAAATTAATTGTATGCAATATACTGCTTTTGTTTTTTGCAAATAAAAGTCTTCGCATGCCCACACACTTCTTAACAAGCTGTGAACACGGAATACTCCCTTAAGTTGCCCAAAACACTAATAACATTTTGTGTTGTGGATAAATTGCTGACTGGTTCCTGAGGAATGCAGTACTTTATTTGTATTTCATTTCCTTTTATTTTTCTTCAGTTTATAAGCTATGAAACAGTTTGAAACAATGTAGCCCTATCTCTGCAAAATATCTCAGGGCGCTAAATCCCAGAGGAGGAATGTACTTTCCACGATTAGACTTTTAAAACTGATAGCATTCTCCCCAGGTTGTGTGCAGAACAAAAGCTTTTTTACTTGAACCATAAACACCACCCAAATTATCATCTTCGCTTCTGAAAACTATGTGCTCCTTTCATTTTTAATGCAGTTTTCATTAAAACTTGATCATCCTGTTCCAGAAGGGCTGGGACTTTTAATTATACACTTCAGAAGCTGAGCACGTTTAGTAATTATTATTTGTGACTTCACCATGACAATTCCTGCTCATGCTCACAGACTCATTTATGTCATCAAGTAACTCCAGCAGGTATAACGCAGGCATAACACAAGCAGATTTATCCAAACTATCCCACTGAAATAAACTAAGCCAATTTCACACTGATACCCAGAGGAAGCCTGCATGTATACAATATGTATTTATTTTATTTATTTAAAACATTTCTATGCCGCCCCATTCGCCGAAGCCTCGGGGCGGCTCACAACATGAAATTAAACTATAATACATAACAAATTAACAATATAAAATAAGTCACCCTGGCCAGATAAAATAAGCAAATAATATTGACAATTAAAATGTTTAAATAAAAAGGTCTTCACCTGGCGCCGAAAAACAAATAACGACAGCACCAGGCGGACCTCTCTGGGGAGCGCATTCCATAGATTGGGCGCCACCGCAGAGAAAGCCCTCCTCTGAGTACCTACCCTCCTAATTTCTTTCACGGAGGGTTCCCGGAGAAGGGCCTCTCCCGCAGATCTCAAGGGGTGGGCGGGCATATATGGATGCAAGCGCTCCTTCAGGTAACCAGAACTCAAGCCGTTTAGGGCTTTATAGGTCATAACCAACACCTTGAATTGGGCCTGGGCTTCAATGGGCAGCCAGTGAAGCTGACGGAGGACTGGAGTCATGTGAACATAACGCCCAGTCCCCGTCAGCAGCCTGGCAGCTCTATTTTGAACCAATTGAAGTATCCGGACCGTCTTCAAGGGTAGCCCCACGTAGAGCGCGTTACAGAAGTCAAGGCGGGAAGTCACCCGCGCATGTGTCACTGTCACCAGGCAGTCGTACTCCAGGTAGGGGCACAGCTGATGGATCAGCCGAAGCTGAAGGAAAGCGCTCCTCGCCACTGCTGTCACCTGAGCTTCCAGTGAAAGCTCTGGGTCGAGGAGCACTCCCAGGCTGCGGACCTTGTCCCTAAGAGGGAGTGCAACCCCATTCAGGACTAAGTTCAATTCACCCTCTCCGAAGCCCGATCCGCCAACCAACAGGACCTCCGTCTTGTCTGGATTGAGCTTCAGTTTATTGGCCCTCATCCAGCCCATTACCTCGGCCAGGCACCAGTTCAGTGCAGCCACTGCCTCACCTGGATTGGTGGAAAACGAGAGGTAGAGCTGGGTATCATCAGCGTACTGATGATTCCGCAGCCCACACCTCCTGATGACCTCTCCCAGCGGTTTCATGTAGATGTTAAACAGCAAAGGGGACAAAATGGACCCCTGCGGTACTCCATGGCATAGCTGCCATGGCACAGAGCCATAGTTCCCCAGCACCACTTTCTGGAATCGGCCATTGAGATAGGAGCGGAACCACTGCAAAGCAGTGCCTCCAACCCCCAATTCCGCTAGCCTATCCAGAAGGATACCATGGTCGATGGTATCGAAAGCCGCTGAGAGGTCCAGGAGAACCAACAGGGACGCACTCCCCCTGTCCTTCTCCCTGCACAGGTCATCGTACAGGGCGACCAAGGCAGATTCAGGACCGTACCTGGGTCTGAAGCCGGACTGAAATGGGTCCAGATAATCAGTTTCATCCAAGAGAGCTTGGAGTTGTCCCGCCACCGCCCACTCCAACACCTTGCCCAGAAACGGGATGTTGGCCACTGGTCTATAATTAGTGGCCATCTCTGGATCCAGTGACGCTTTCTTCAGGACCGGTCGGACTACCGCCTCCTTTAAAGGGGCAGGCACCCGACCCTCCCTCAGAGAAGCGTTAACCACTTCCAAGTTCCAGGTCCCAATCCCGTGCTTGGAATTATTTAATAACCAAGACGGGCAAGGGTCCAATAGGCAAGTGGTGGGATGTACTCGTCCAAGCACCTTGTCCACATCATCAGGCTGCAGTAACTGAAATTCATCCAATAATTCTGGACCAGACGGCAGCATTGGTGTCTCCCCAGAAACCTCTGATTCACTAGTGGTGTCTAGCTCGTGATGAATCTGAGCGATTTTCTCCCTGAAATGCATGGCAAAGCCGTCACAGCGGGCCTTTGAGGGTGGAACCAGATCTTTCTTAGGACCTGGAAGAACCAGGCCTTGCACCACTCGAAAAAGCTCCGCTGGACGGCATTTTGAGGAGGCAATGGAAACGGAAAAAAACCTCTTTTTTGCCGTCCTCACCGCCACAGCATAGGCCCGATAATGGGCTCTCAAGTGTGTTTGGTCAGATTCATCCCATGACCTCCTCCACCTACGCTCTAGCCGTCTCCCAACCTGCTTCATCGCCCGCAATTCAGGTGTATACCAAGGGGAAGAATGGGCTCTGCCCGGTGGGAGAGGACGCTTAGGAGCGATCATGTCCACAGCCCTGGTCATCTCCCCGTTCCACAGTTCGACCAGAGTGACAGGAGCACCAGTCTTGTCAGCCGGAAACTCCCCCAGGGCCTTCAGGAATCCATCTGGATCCATCTGGCTCCGGGTGCGGACCCACACAATCGGGTCCGCACCCTTGCAGAGGGAGAGGTCGCTCTTAAGCACAAACCTCACCAGGAAGTGGTCTGACCATGACAGGGGAGTCAGACATAAATTCCTCACCCTCAGACCACCCTCTTCCTGCCCCGTCGAGAAAACCAGGTCCAGAGTGTGTCCACGTTCATGGGTTGGGCCGGTGACATGTTGAGACAGCCCCATGGCCATCATGGAGGCCATGAAGTCCTGAGCCGCCCCGGTCAGACCAGTCTCGGCATGGAGATTGAAATCCATGTGGACCCAAAGTGTGGACAGTGTGGACCCAATATAAATGTAGAAGTGGTATTTGTATAGGAAAATCCATATGTGAAACAAGCCTTATATAAGCAGTTTAGTCCTCTTGAGATGTATGTATGTATGTATGTATGTATGTATTACTAAGGACATGAATCTTAACTATAACTGAGACTCACTGATTTCAAGGCAATATGTTTTGTATGCATTTAGAATATGACAACCAGTCAAATCAAACTATTTAGATGTGCAGTGTATCCATGCTATGCTTAATTCACCAGTGAAAAGTAAAAGATAAAGCAGGAAATATTTTTGCATTCTGGAAGATCGGGGATCTTGTTTGGATTAAGACAGCAATTCTATGCATCTTCACATGAGAGCAAATTGTATTCCTTTTAATGGCAAACTCTTAAGAGCTGATCAAGGACCAGCAAATTGTATTCCTTTTAATGGCAAACTCTTAAGAGCTGATCAAGGACCGCTCTATATTCATTAGATAAAACATTGTGTGAGGCGGATCACTAAAGATATACAAACAAATGCACGAGTGTGTTAACATGTTATTAATCATTACTTAATCTATGGAATATGCTCCCCAGAGAGGTCCGCCTGGCGCCGTCATTATTTGTTTTTCGGCGCCAGGTGAAGACCTTTTTATTTAAACGTCATTTTAATTGTTAACAATATTTACTTATTTATCTGGCCAGGGTGACTTCTTTTCTTTTCTTTTATAACTTTTCTTTTATAACTTCTTTTATATCGTTTATATTTATTTATTTTATATTATTAACTTTAATTTTATATTGTTATTTTTGTATTGTATTGTATTTTATTGTGTTGTAAGCCGCCCCGAGGCTTCGGCAAGGGGCGGCATAGAAATGTTCTAATAATAATAATAATAATAATAATAATAATACTTATCAGCAGGGACTAATCTTCAAGAGTGGAGGAGCACCAGGATACATTTTACTTCTCCCTATCTTTATTTCCTCACCTTCCCCAAGTTCTCAGCACCTAAAAAAAGCAAACCAACACCAGTTACAACCTTTTGGCTGGGACTGAGTAGTCATTTAGATAAACCCCAGGTTGGTTTAGAGATAAGTCACAAATGCAGTCTATAAACATGGTTTTTAAATGAAGTGTGGTCAATAATTACATTGATAAAATGCAAACTCTCCAAAGTTTACAATCTTTAGTTTCAATACATCATTGGAAGAATAGACCTGCAGAAGTTACTGGTTCCTATGTACAGCCAAACCTCAAAGTAGAAAACTTCACTTAAGAACAACCATTCACACAAACTTATTCTGAAGTTAAATGCATATAACTCATTTTGTTTATTGCTTAAAATATTGATAGAAAAATAGAAATATATAAATACAAGTTTTAAATATCTTTACATAAAATATTTCTCTTTACAACATTAATTAATGCTGCCTTGCAAAAATACAATTCTAATATACTTATTTATTTCAACAACAAAATCCTAAGTAGAAAAAAACCAAGATAACTATTATAAACAAAGGTGACATATTTCAAAATGAAAGAAAAAACATTGAATACTGCAGTTCCAAGATTAATTTGTAGTTCATGCTTCCAAAGGGTTATATGGCACTTGCACTGAAAATACTTTCAACTATATCAAGACTGGAGTAATAAGACTTGGTTCTCATATCAGACATGAAAACAAAACTGCAGTAATTTCACAGGTGGAATGACCAAAATACAGTATCCATGAATTGCCAGAATGCAGCAGGAGTGAGTTCACTGCTTTCTATGAGCTTGATGCTTCCATTTTTACATTGTAAATGAAACAGGAATACCCCATAGTGTCTGAACCTGCTACTCTGGATTGTTTATGTTTTCGCTTCACAACAAAATTGGTAGTTATAACTCTGGGTTTAACTTGGGGGCAGAGGTTTACAAAGCTAAATGAAACAGAAGCAAGTGTTTGCTCATTTTGATGCAGCCATGTCTAATTATCAGTTATTTAATCCACACTTACCCACTAAATGCAAGCTGGGTATTATTGTAAACACTTAGCAAATACTTTTTTGAACAATTATTTGAACCTTTAATTCTGATTTTAACAAGAAATTTGGCACATGAGAATACTATTTGCCTTGGAAAGGGATCCATGCTTAAAGACTTTGCTGGGATGGTTCAGACCAAGCCCTCCCTGAATTCCTCTTTTTCAGCTAGCTACCACACAGAGAACAGGCAATGTTCCTGCAAACAAGAACTAGAAAACAGGTTCAAACTGTGGTTTCAAATTCTCGTTTGTAGGAAAATATGATTTATATAAACCACAGTATGTCTGATCCAAATGTAAAAGCAAACTATGATCTGCCATAAAAAAGAAGGAAACTGGAAAACATGTGGAGGAGAAAAGAAACAGTATGAAAGACCACGAATTGTTCATGGAATGCATCATGTCTGAACCGAACCGAACTGAACCAACCCTCTTTCTATTTCCTATTTAGTTGAAAAAAATACTACTGACTTAACCCTGAAATCAAAGGTTCACTTAAATAAATCTAGCAGTTCCACTAGGTCTGCTAATATACTCATATTATTTTAACATGTACAACTAAGCCATTTCCAGGTAATTTAACAAAATTATATGCTTTTGAAATGTGTACATTAAATGTATAGGCAGAGTGTCTGATTCATTAACAAATAAAACTTATTCCGTTGAAATGTGTAATCAGCTGAAGCAGCAAAACATAAGAGGATGGCTCTGGCTTTTGCTTATTCTGAAGGATGCCTCACTCTTTACTAAGCATTTACTATTCACTGTGTGCCTCCCAGTGACCATGCCTAACATTTAATTGGCAGCTCAACATCCACAAGCATGTGGTGAACATCCAGTGGGGAACTTCAGGAGGTTAAATCCTGTGTTAGTTCTACTTAGAGTAGGCCCAAGTTAGCATTACTAACGTACATTCTACTCATTTCAATGTGCCTATTTTAAGTAGAACTAATGTTGGATTTAACTCATGGGTTTCTGGCATACATCTGCTGTACATGCCTGTGGTTCTAGAGAAATACACCTCTCCCTGCAATACAATGGTGCTAAGCAAAGATATACTATGGGCAAACAACAAGCTTGTTTGCCACAGAAAATGTCAATCAGTTTTGATCTAGGTATAAACATTCAACCCCAAACACTATTGTAAGCATAGACTGTTGAATGATGTTGCATGCTTGTTACTGAAAGCCTTAAAAACTTTGCAGTAGGAGGAGTGACATTTCTTACCAATGTTTTAAACATAAGAACATTAACCGCATGTACTTTTACAAGGATATAATTTAAAAGATGAATGCTTTTTGAAGAAAATACACAAGACAGCTATACCCCTGTCAGCAGTATGAATTAGCTGATAAATGCAGCAATGGCTATGATTTGTAGGATCCCTTCAAGTCCATACATAACAAGCATCATGACATTAATTACAACATCTGCTCTCAGGATGTAAGTTTGCCACACCAGAAAGTAGACAGTCAGAACCACGCTGCCAACAGTGATCACAAGGCTAACACCCAGGGGAGCTTCTTCTTCTGTCAAATTTCCTTTAGTGCCTAGTAAAAATAAAGATGACAGAAGCACAACAGCCATGAATGTGTTAGCCTACAAACATACAAACCCAAAGGAAAACAGTAATTGATGTATATGTTGTAGAAGCAGTTAAACTAAATACTATTTTAATAGATTAATAATTGTGCAGGAGAAAAAAATCTGGGTATGATGTAGAGTTGGTATTCTGCTGGAATGGAGTTCTGCTCAGAACTGTCTCACTAGTAGAAAAGTGGAGAAGTGTTCTTCATTCCTTCCCCTCTCCCTCTCTAATCACCATACATTATTTTCCCCATTGTTCTGGTGGGGGGGGGCAACTCTCCATAGATTTGGAGGGAAAGTAAGAGCCTAGAGGAAGAGGGAGAAATTGGTGAAGACTGCCTCTCCTGCATACAGTCAGTGGAAAAGCCAGTGATTAAATGCCTTATGCTGAAGGAAGAAGTCCTTCTGTCCACAGGTTTTTTCTGGACCTGGCCCATTATAGTAATTATATCAATTACAAGCATTTGTATGACAAATGGAAATGTAAACAATCCACAAGGTTACTCTGGATGAATATAGAATTTTTATATTTAGTTTGCAGAACAATTCCTGTGCACCATACTGATGCAACTCACAAATTTACCTTAATGCTTTTTATCTTGTTCAAAAGACAATCTAAGTCCTATGTGATATTTTTCATCCCTATCTTTTCCCAAGAAGAATGCTCTCCCACACAATGCTTGCAGTAGTAAAACCTACCATAGATAATTCAAAGGATTACAGATGGAAATCATAGGTTTTCCTTGTGCTTCAGTAGTTACCACAACATTGGATGAAGGGCAGGTAGACCAAGGGGTTACATGTCCTGGCTAGACTAAGGATGGCGCAGAAGGAACCAGTGATAGCTCATGCCACCCTCATGCAAGCTCAAGTGGCGAGAAAGGGGGTTGAGGATGTCATCCAGCCTTTGAGCCTCAACCTATCAACAACTTTAAACACTATGTTTTATGTAGCAGCATTTAAGATCATTCTCTATGCCTAAAGATACAACTAATAATACCACAGAACAACCCCTTGGCAGAAGTCTAATTATCAGTGGCAACCATAGCGCTGTATTTGAAGTCTCATTAGCCATTTCTCAAGTATTCTGATCTGAATGCCAGAAATTTTTTTTTCCCCTATGCTACTTTATTAAACGGCTATTAGAACAGCACATAGTAAAGTCTGGCTACAGCTTCTCACATGAAAATGGAAGCAGATACATTAGTGATAGTATTTTTCACAGTGCTTCTGTTCTGCCAACTGTGTAAACAGAGGCACTCTTTCCATGACATGTTCTGAAGAACGGAGAAGAACACTGTACACTACTTTTAGCATTCTAATAGGCACTATCATTCTTTAAGTTTCAATTTGTTACACACTTCCTTCAGAGTAGGTCTTGCTAAATTTAGTGGGGCTTTCTTCTGAGAAGGCATGCAAATAAGAGTGGGCTGTTTGCGAATTAAAAGCCTTATTTTAATTAGCATGGAGAGCAAAGTCTCATTTGTGTTTTGCCCATACAGGTTAATCAGATACTTTAATGTTTAACATTAAACATATTTAACAGCCCACTTCTAAACATTGCCTGAGGAGCCATGGGGCACTGAGGATTTCCCATGCCATGGTCAGAGGTTTTTGGACCACAGACTGGGGTGTTCAGAGATCCACTGCCCCCTCACAATCACTGCAGAAAGAATCACACTAGCTGCCCTCTGCTGTCAGAAAACTGACCTTGGATGGGAAAGGGGAATTCCACTGCATAGGAAGGGGAGGTGACCAGCAAGACCTTAGCCACCTTCATCCTCCCTTACTTCCTCTCCAAAGCAGATGACATTAGAAAGCCCATTTAGCAAAATCTGCAGGATGGGCGGAGGATGAGGTACAGATTGCCTCCCCTGTTCCTCTTGCACTGGATGATCAGAAAACCCAGAGTTCAAGGACTTTCAATCATTAAAAGCACAATTGGCGGGATTGCACTCTAAAGGCCTCAAAACATAATCGACTTATTGTTTTGAATCTGCACATTTTCGCATTTATTTTTATAAGGAGATTACCATTTAACAATGATCCCAACGTACATGATGTGATCCAACTTACCAAAGTATAGTCGGATTGCTTCTAGAATTGCCATAACGAACAACAAGATCAGATCAAGCATTAATAAATTATCGGGGTAAGTGAAAACTTGACCTGCCAATGAGCAAAATATACATGAAGAAAAAAAAGTTATGTCAAGGTCTACAATTCCCAGAAGAAGCATTGTTCAGCTGTGGATTTGAAATAACTTACTTTTATAAATAATCATCAGTAAGGTTGCAAAGAAGTAAAACAAATAATAAGCTCCATTCAAATAGAAAAGTATCTGTAAGGGAACAGATGATAGCTGCCATGTTCCGTCAAGGAAAATGATTTATAAATAATCACAACATGCTGCTGTCACCACTTCATGGTATATTAATGCTATGTATCTTACAGTATTTGCATATTATATATATTGTCCAAGAATGTTTAAAGCACCACTAACTTTAGTGAAGTGAAAGGTGGCATGGGATGCATCCGGAATGAAGTGTCTGTGTATGGTCCTTAGAACTCCAGAGTAGAATTAGGTCGTAAAAGATGGCCTTAATCAGGATACAAGATGAACTGTGTGTGTACTGATGAAGCAGCCACAGTCCCTGCCACCACCCAGAACAGGCTTCAGCCTAACCCTCCCTGTTCCTGCACACAATGCAAGAATGTGTCCTTTTGGTTTCATACAGTCACTTCTAGGATGTAACTCCTGGTCCAACCAACAGAGAAATCTATCAGCAAACAGCTGTTTCATGGCCAACCTTCAGAGTATTTCTGAGCACAATCTTTCTTAAAAGTTACTACTTTTTTCTATAGACATGGCTTTGTGAACATTTTTAATTTTTTCAAGACGGTCAAAGAGTACATACTGATTCAGACCACTAAAGGATTTCCATCTATCCCAACTATCTGTAGTACACAGGACAGGCAACAGTAACTCTCCAGTCTCAAAAATCTTTCTTAGCCCTTGTACCTAAAAACTTTTTAATTAGGGACCAAAGAGGCACCACATGTATCCAAAGCATGAACACTTACATCAAGTACCGACCTAACAAAGTATTGTAATTCAATATAGCTTAGATGGCTTACTGATGTACAGGGATTTTCAAGTAGCAGAACTCTTAGTTGGAATATCTGCCATGCTTAAAATAATATGCACTGATGTGTTGATTCTTCAATTCTCAGAAATTAGTATTTCTAACACTGGGCTGATACTTGGGCCTTTTCACTGATGGTTCAACTTTCTATACTAATTCCATTCTATAACATGAATTGCAAATTTACCATGATAACAATTCAGTTTATTACATAAAGCATACCTAACCCTAACCACACTCAGAACCATTAGAGATGGCAGCACCTGTGATAGTGGACTCATCAGAACCATATTTACCATAGCTGACTGGGGCAAAAATTCAGGTGTGTTCCATGAGGGAATTCCAGAATGGAATTCTATTTGATTACATTTGGCTAATTCCCAGAAACCACTTTTGCTGTTAAAATAGAACACCCAATAAACAATGTGGCCCAATTAAATGCATATTAGGTATGAAATTAAAATATCCTTACTAAATCATAGATGGCCTTCAACAAATCATTTGGTCACATTCTTAACACTTCTCACAGTTGCTGTGATAATTGCAATGCATTTCATAGACTAAAATTAAGCTTTATAATATATAGTATCAATTACTCTAAGTCAGGAAAAACAATGGTTTGAAGAAGTTACAATGGTTTGAGATCAATGTAAAGAGAAAAATAGCTCTGGCTGGCTGCAAAGGTTAACCATGTCTTAGGTCAACTATGACTTGATAAATTATCATTCTATAAATCAGAGCAGGCAAATACTTCCAATGTGGAGGGTTTTGATGTTCCATAACTGGCAAGGGTAGCCTATGTCCAGCTGGTATTCTATATCTTAGTCCAAGTGTACACCCCATTCTAGGTCTGGGTTGGGGTGGGGGGACAGCTTTAAGTGGGGATTGTTGATAATACCACAGATATCTTACATCTAATAGGGCAAGATATATATCTAATAAATATTTTATAATAAAACTCCACCTTCAGAGGGCCTCCCTTCACCCTCTCAGCTACCAGCTGAGACCCTGAAGACAGAAGACACACACTAGAGACAAGGAGGGGAGGGGCAAACCACCACCAGATTCTACTGACTCCTCAGTCTCCTCTTTATGAGGTGTGGGAAAACTATTTAGACAGCTGAAATAGGTTGTCTACACGTTTTGGAGGGCAAGGGGAGCAAGGAGGCAATCCTTGCCTCTTCACTTTTCCTTTGATTGAAAATGAGATCAGAAGGTTATATGCATCTTAAATACCTGAAACTTGTTTCAGTTCTAATTTCTGGAGAGTCCTTTGTTTATATAGAGTTTTACTAAAGAAATACATAAAGTTATCTTGCTGAAATGTGTAAATTGCTGAAAGTGATCTGTGCTCTTGGACACCATGCTCATAACCACCCTCACACAATATCCAGCTAAAATTTTCTAAGCAAAAAATGAAACACCCAGTTAAGTTAGTAAAGGATTTTGAGCATTGCTATCTGCATGTAAATGAAAAGTTTGGTTATTTGTTATTTAATGGACAATGCCCCCTATTTTGGGATTAAGGTTCCAATGCTGTACACACCTACCTGAGATCAAGTTCCATTGAATTCAATGAGATTTCTAAGTAGTACCTAGAATTTGCTGCAAAAGCCTTAGAGGTAATATGTGTATGCTGATTTGCAGAACAGATGCTTATCTGATTGAAACTAAACTTCTTCACAATAAAAGAATGAGGAACAAGTAGCAAAAGAAATAATTGTGGTCTGTCTGGAATATTTATTGGGGAACTTGCAATTTGCATCACTCATGTGTCACAGCTATAAGCTTATGCATTTCATTGGGATTATTCTACTCACTTTGTTTCTTATTTTCCCAATACAGAGTTCAAGAATCTGGTAATCCCCATAATGAACGCGAACATACTTTGCAGTTGTATATCTCTGTTAAACTTCACTAAGAATACATAAGCTACATCTTATCAGAGGACAGTGTTATAGAAGAGCAGTTTTCAAACTTTCTTTAAGGGACCATCTCCACATGAACCTGACTGCCATGGAATGCTTATGTGCCAAATGCTTATGTTTTGGGACATGCTTGATTGTCCATTGTCCATGCATGCAGAGCTCCTGTGAACTGAGAACATGCTCTAGAATACAGCTCGCAACTGCACATTGCAGAGCATTGCTAGCTGTGCGTGAGCTGTCATCAGTGAAGCCTACCACATCACTGGTTTCTTCACTGAAACCTCTGAAAAGGCTTTCAAGGAATCCCAGGGTTCACTGAAACACATTTGAAAACCACAAAATATGAAGAAGTAAGAATTATCTGAAAGAAAGGATACAACAGATGATGTTCTTCCTGTTCATGAGAGAAAAATAACAATTACCAAAAATTACATTTTTTGGACTCAACATTAAAACCTAAGAATAACTGGATACATATTTGAGCACAAAGTACTTTTTTCCTGGCCTTTGAGAAGGTAGTATTTCCATAAAGTAGCCAATACATGCTGCAAAAATAACTAATTTAAAACAAAAACCCTCTGCTTCAAAGCTGTAACATAATCCTGGAATATCGTATCAACCCCACTCCTTACAAAAATATGATGCTCCATAAACTATTTAAGTTTATGTACATTTTCCTGTTTAGGGCTTGCACTGCTAACTAATCTCTACTGAACACAATGGAACTTATTTTTAGGTGAACACACATGATTGAGCAATAAGCTGTTCATGAGTATAGTCTACTAACATTGGGATGGTACATTTTGAAATTCAAGCAAGATGAAGTCAAAGCAAGTTGAAATTAAATTAGGCATCAAAGGAAAAATATACATCAATATACCACTGATGTATATTTTTAGGCTCATATAAAACTACTTAAGTGTAACCCAGTTGAGCAGAGTACTCTATCTCCATCTAGTGAATGACTCAGGGCACTGTTCTAAGTTTGCTGATTATTTCAGCAAAGATCTGACTTGGTATATCAATCAGGTTGAAATAGAAAATATTTCCAGATAGTCTCAGATTTGCTTTTTAATGAAAACAATTCACAGTGGATAGACATGAGTATAAGATGGAGCTGAAATAAGTATATTATAGATTTATTACTCTCTAAGGATACAAAATATATTTAATGTTTTCAGCTTAAGATGCAATTCAGTGGATACTACAGGTTTAAGCAACTGATAGAGAACCACTTCAAGAGATGATGGAAATCCTTCATCACCCAGCAGCACAATGCAAGATGAGTCCTGCTAGATCAGACCAAGGATCTGTCTAGTCCAGCATCCTACAGTATGACTGTAATTACTATTTTGATATGACACTAGTAATCATGATCAGCTGATTTACCTAGCTAGCTCTTTTAGGGATATGGACATTTTCCCTTCACAATTAGACTACTCTTTTGATCAGTCTAATAGGTTTTAATATGTTGTTATTTATATATGTTCAATTTGTTGTTTTAATATGCTTAATATGTTGTTGTAAGCTGCCTAGAAAGGCCTTTGGACAGATAGGCGGCATATAAATGCATGGATGGATGGATACTTATGACTCCTAACAGCATCTGAGGGGCCATAGGATAGCTCAAGTTCCCAGATTCAGGCCAAAGTTGGAAATCAGAGCTCTGATCCACCCAACACAGAAGGTACCCACTGGCTACTTTCCAAAGGCTAGAACGCAAACTCAGAGGGGATGAAGGAAGGGGTGCTTTGGGGAGTGGATGGAAAAATAGAGACAGGCATCTGCTAGAAAACTGAGGTTAGAAGGATGGGAAAACAAAGATTGCCTCTGTTGCTCTTTTCATTCTTCACTGTATGAGAGTAGGCCTCCAAGTTTGGAGGGTTGTGGCCATCACCTAGGATTCAGAGGGACTTTCCCTGCATACCAGAGAAGATGTAGATTCATTTTACATTTATTACGGACGCTAGAAATGATAACAGACAGAAAAGTTGGGATGAGTGTGGTCAGATAGTATGCTAAGAAAAAGATCTTTACTGCCCTGACATTGGTCTAGGAGACAGTTGCACTTCTCCAAACCAAACTATGTTAAACCATGCATGGTCATGGAGCCATTCCCAGGATGGGTTCTGCCAGTGGTATTCACTGAATTATTTTTACTGATCTCAAAGCACCTAAGATTATTTAGTGAAGTTGCTAAAGTAACAGCACAATTCTGTACATATGTACTCATAAGTATGACAGCACCCACTGGTGCTTACTCACAGGAAACTTGGTATAGGACTGGAGTCTAAAACAGCAAATACAAGGAGCAAAAGGTAACCTTTTCCAGATTCTGCTACGTTCTACCAGAACAGCAACCTAAGATTTGTTTGGCCATTCTGATGCCTTTGAATGTGACAAAAATCATATTACTGCATCCTGTTTATTTTGAATTAATTCTACTCTTATTTCTTACATTTTCATCCTCTTTCCACTACTGATCACAGGATACTACCCAATATTTTAGTCTTATTACAACCCTGTGAGGTAGATTATACTGGCACACACTGATGCCCCCCTCTGCCCCAGATTATCTAGTACACTTAATTGATCAGCAGCATACATCTGAACCTAGGGAGGTTTAGGGAGCATTCCAGAAGATGGGGAGAAGACCACCTCCACCAAAATATGGCTCATCCTGGCAACACCTTAACTACCTTTCTTCCCCTCTTGTCATAGTTAGACAGCCACTGCTTTGCAGAGCAGAAAAATGCAGGTGCATTTTTCACCTTTGTGCTCCTCCCTGACTACTGGAGGGGGTTTCCACAAGTGAATGAGAGCTTCAATATACAGAAAATACCCTTCATGTACAAATCAACACCAGGAACACAATGCTTCATCCCGATAAAGAATATGTACATGGTGGTAGTGGGGAATGGAGAATTTGGTCATATGAGGCCCCCAACTTGCTGCATTTAGTGACAGAAAAGGCTTACTATCCTCATGAGAACCTTCTGGGGATCTATATTAGAACCCTTTCCATTGATCAGCAAGTGCTGTCCTGGAATTAATGCAAAATGCATTTACCACTGTTGGGGCACATTTTAATATATATACAGCAGTTTCCATTGTGTTGAAAATATTACCTTTTGTCACACACAAATGCACTTGTGGGAAAGTGGGAAGAGCTGGAAAGGGGATGTGTGCAGGGAAATGGCATAAAAAAAAAAAAAAAAA